GGTCTGAAAGAGAACCGCAGCGAAGTGAATGTGAGAAAAAAGCACTAAACTTTCACGGTTTTTTTTTTTTCGGTTTGGCTGAAAGAAAGAGGAGAAGAGGAGAAATGACAGAAATTTTTTTCTTTGCATTTCGGTTGCTTTTTTGGAATATAAAATGAGATAGGGTAATGCAGAATTAAAACCGAATCTTATGTTCTGATAATTATTGGGCATAATGTTGTTTGTCTGTTTTTTTCCATCTTTTTTCCCTGTGTTTTTTTTGTCCTTCTAAAAAACTGCTGGCATTATTATAAGCATTAATGTATCTTTGTATCTGTGTGTTCCTTATCTGTGTGTGTGTGTATCTGTTTATTTGAAAAGCTGTGAATCTATGTGTGTATGTGTTGCATTTTGAAAATATATCACTCAGTTTTGGTTATAAAAGTTGTTTTGACTTCTTCATTTTTTCATTTTTTTTTTCTGTTGTTTTTTCTCTGTTTTTTCTTTCTTTTTGTTTTTTTTTATTCTTTATCATTGTTGCCTTTTTTTTCCACAGACTTTCAATCTTTTTCTTTTTTGAGTTAATGGAAGTTTTTTGTCGACAAAATTTTAATAGGCAGAGTGGACTAAATAGGAGAGGAAAGATAAAAAAGAAGGATAAGGATGATGTTGGTATGAAAGAAATGTTGACAAGCAGTGTTCAGTAAGTGTATTATTCAAGTTGTTGTTGATAAATTCCACAAAAGTGACGGAAAGTGTAATCAAATTGATATTTGAAGTTTATATCCTGGACTGTTTGAATAATTAAATAAAGTAGTTGGCGGAAACAACTTAGTTACTTGATCTGCAGTATCTAGTTGATTAACTAGTTAGTTAATTAGTCAGCCAACTAGTTTACTGTTGTTCAGAACAGTGCTATTTAGAAATTTCTGGTGCTTATTTAATTATTTATTTATTTAACTCATTTTTATCTATTTTTGTTTTGTCATAAAATATCATAATTGCTAAATAATTTATCATCTCTTTTTTTATTTTCTTTCGTTTCACTTGTCATTTAAAGAAGAATGGCTATATGGATAACCCGTTACATTATAAATTCTTCAAAATTTATTATTACTTAATTTTTATTCTTTTTTTTTT